TGAGGTTTTCTTGTGTGTTTTAGTGAGCTTCCTTATTTCATGCACTGCAATACATCTGTAAATTTACTTTTGCTGATAAGAGTAAGCATTACCTAGAAATGTTAATGGTGCTTTTATAAAAGTATTAGAATGATGACAGCTTGTATCTAAGAACTTTGATCTTCAAACCTGTGTGCATGGGGCTCCTTTGTGTTTAGAAAAGCAATAAGAACTTTGGAAATACATTTTAATGTTTTATGGTGTATTCAGGTTCTTTCAAGTTGGACCTGATGGACCTGTTAAAACAGTACGAGAAATTTTATGGACTAGTTATTCTTGAAGTTTTTTTTATGTAATAACGTTTCTAAACACGAACCCAACAAAAGTGATGATAAGGTATTTCATGAAGTGTGCAATCTGACTTACGACTTGAAGGTATCATTCGGGTTATTAAAAGTGCTCAGAAAATTTCCCTGTTAGCATGTTGAGGTTCTTGGAACAAATAAATTCCAGCCCTGTTTTTGGGGTGGTTTTTTAATAATAAACTCAGTCCCCCAGATGAGGCACATTTGTATCCACTAGCAGGGAGAGGACCAACAAAAAGGCTGTAGCCCCCTTGCTTTATCAGGCATGACTTAAATTACCCAGTTCTGTCAGGATAGCTGCAGCAGCTGGGGTGTGGACAGGCATTTTCTTCTGGACTCGGTTGCGCTAAAGGAGGAATTTACTCTTCTTCCTTTCCAATCTGCTCTTGACTGTTCTCTGTGACAATTTCATCGTCCATGGAGCAGATGATGAGATCTCTTCCTAATTTGCTTCAGCGTAAATGAGCAGGTTGGTAAAACACCTGTCTCCTCCTTTTTTTTTCATCTTAATACTGAAAATGGGCCAGGTCGGTGAGCTGCACTTACTTGTGCGAGCGCACTTCATCTCTGGGGCTGGGTCCTAGGACTGCTGCTGTCTTGTGCTGGCAAGCGGTTGGTGATAGCAGGTGCATGGTAACCTTCCACCGTACTGCAGCATCTGTCCACATCTTAAGAGTGTGGAGAGGAAAATAAACGTGTATCCTGCTCAAAATCAGGGGGAACAGCAGTGGCAGCACATTTTTTGTCACCTTGTGTTGTTCAAGGAGGTGGTAGAGGTGTGCAGAACGAAAAGCCCCTTCTGCCAGCATGTACCGTTCTGCTGTCCTGGCAGTGGTGCAGGGGCAGGGGAAGAGCCTTAAAGCTGAAGCGAGCGTCTAGCGAATGCTTCCTAATAACGAGGCCACCAGCTGTGGCTGCTAGGATGTTATCAGGGCAGTTTGTAACTTTGCTAAGTGGCCATTTGGTAAAATACATGCTTGCACTCTGTTCTCTTGTGTTTATAGCTTTGCGGAAGAGCTTTGACTTAGATGTTTCTCAGGCATATCGTCATCTCTGTGGACTTGACTGTGCGGGGAGGGGGGGATTTTTTTTTGCTGCTCATTTGTACCACATCTCAAGTTTTAATCTTCTGTAAGGAATTTCTATTGAAGATACTTGTATTTGTGTACAGAAAATTGTGAATTCTCTTCTAAATGCACTTGATTAAATCTAGTTTTAAAAATATCTGTATTCAAATTATATATCCTGTTGATGTGAAAATAATAAAGCAACTGAGTTCATTCCTGGCTTCCCTACTGCATGAGACCTTAGGAAAAGGCATCGTATTGTGCTGGTGTGTCTAACCTTCTGCATGCCAGGATATTACTGTCTGAGCTTGATTGCTCAGTTGAGGTTGTGTGATCCTGTGTGCGTGTGTGTATTGATCAGACAAGGTGGGGCTGCAACTGCTCCTTTTCTGTTGTGCTGCTGAATTGATGCAATTCTCTGTGGGCCACAAAAATGCACTGATTTTGTACAGCAGGTCCTTGCCCATCAGATCAGAGTTTGGTTTTATGTGGGGACCGATGGGATTTTTTATGGGGTTCAAGTGGTTTTTGTGTTGTATGTTTCTAACAGCATTAAGGGTAGCGTTACGGTTGGGAGTAGTTCAAACCTTGCTGAATTTGAGCAGGATGGCAGAGGAGGGTGTTATCTACTGAAGGGCAACGTTTGTTAGCTGCGTATTCACCACACAACCGTGCGCATCCCATCACATTTGCCAGAAAGGGGAAGCTGCTTCCTATCAATACGAGGAGCCCTTGCAAGACAAAGCACAGTCAGGAGCAGGAGCTGCCTAAGGAGCTTGTGGGACCTTCCTCAAGAGCTGTTCCTGTGTAACAGGCACCTGGCTAACCTTTCAGCTTCACAAAGGACTTACTGTTTTCGTGGACTGGTTTGCATTCATAGCTCTAATTTTTTTTTTCTTCTTTTTTTTTTTCCTCCCCCTGAAAGCAAAGAGCAGAGAGCCAAGAGGGAATTGTCTGCTTCATGAATAGGAGGCAGAGTTGCTTAAGCAAGTAACAAGTCCAGATGTTGGCAGAAGCACCACCATGCCTTTAACATTTTTCCAGGGATTAGCTGTTCTTTGCAGTGTGTTGTGTATATACAGTCTCCTGTTTAAGTAAGATTCCCAAGAATCACTTTGCTTGCATGTGTCTTCTGTTCCAGCCTGTTACAGGCAGTGTGTGATATTTCTTCCTGTTGGGAATTTCACAGGCTTGGAGAGGGTAGGGTTTAGATTTTGCTTTGTTTTTTTCACCCCTTCCTATCAGCATTGATTCCCACCACCACCCCCCTTCCCGGAGTGGCTGTTCAGGATTTTTGGCTGAATGATGGAGAGGAGCTGTTCAGGATTTTGTGTAGTCAGGAATAAACACTGCAGTAGAAACTGCCAACGAGGTTGTGTGAAGTCAACTCTTGATTTTATAGGCTAACAGGAAATATAATGAAGCAAGTAAAGCAAAACCACAGCTAATAGCACGTAGGCAAATCAGCAGTTAGAACGTAGAGGACCATCCAAGGGGATGGGGGTCAGCGTTGTGGTCAGCTGGAGCACTGACCTGGATTGGCAAGTCCCACAGGGGAGTGTACGTGAACAACGTATGATGCTTCCAAGCTGGCTGATACAGCCAGTTCAGGTGTGTCTGCACCGATGCACAATTAATTCACAGTCGAGGGAGCTGAGAGGTGGTGGTAGCTGGCATGCAGCATGCATCTACTGCATGTCAGAAAACTTGCCACAACTCGCAAAACACTGGAACAAAGGTTGGTTGCTACCAACTAAGGATAAACAGGACTCAGTATCCTTATCTGTGCTGATGCTGGGGTATCTGTTATTGCTGCCAGTTCTTCATCTTTGTAATTATTCTTAATGTTTCCGGAGGTAAAGTCTAACAAGTAGCACTAGCATTTGCCAAGCTTTGAAACTGTTCTGTTCCCCTTGGTGTGTGACAATCCTGTCTGCACGTACTGGGCTAGTGAAGGGTAGCTAATAGAGCCCGGAAAGTTATGCTGGCGTTTGTCTGGGCTCACAGCATGCGGCAGGGTCTAGCACAGACGGTGGTCCTGGCACTCAGGCCTGCCGAGTTCTGCCCCTGCCTCCCTTGACCTTGCTGCATTGCTTCCTGCGGAAAGGTGCCCTCTGCTTCTGTGCGTTGTGCTAGTGCAGGCTGTTGGTTTTCCTTTCGAGCACTCCTAATGCAGAAGCATCGTCCTGGTCCCAGGTTTTCCCTCCCATATATCACATACCATCATGCTTCTTGGCTTCTGTTGTCTGTTACCGCAATGTGCTTCACAGGGGTGAAGCTACGGGGAAAATTTGCTTTGCATTCTAAGCAAGCAAACAGTAGAGGGCAACAAAGCCTGTATTTCGTTGACTTTCCTGTCTTACACTTCTCTGGAAGAGCAGAGTTCTCCAGTGTCCTGGTTTCGGCAGGAATAGAGTTAATTTCCTTCCTAGTAGCTGGTACAGAGCTGTGTTTTGGATTTAGGATGAGAACAATGTTGATAACACACAGATGTTTTAGTTGTTGCTGAGCAGTGCTTACACTAGTCAAGGACTTTTCAGCTTCCCGTGCTCTACCGACCGAGAAGGCTGGAGGGGCGCAAGAAGCTGGGAGGGGGCACAGCCAGGACGGCTGCCCCAAACTGGCCAAAGGGACATTCCATACCATGGGACGTCACGCTCAGTACATAAACTGGGGGAAAGCTGGCCGGGGGGGCCGCTGCTCGGGGACTGGCTGGGCATCGGTCGGCAGGTGGGGAGCAATTGCATTGCACATCACTTGCTTTGTAGATTCTAATTATTATTATTATTTTATTCCATTATTAAACTGTTCTTATCTCAACCCACAAGTTTTCTCACTTTTCCGTTTCTTTCTCCCATCCCACCGGGGGGGAGAGTGAGCGAGCGGCTGTGTTGTGCTCAGTTGCTGGCTGAGGTTAAACCACGACATCCAGATATGAAATGTTTTACCTCATGCTAGTCCCTTTCCTGTGGTTTTGGGAGGGGATTTTGGTGACTTCAGTTACTTTTCAAGTGAGTGTGCAATACCTCGTGTATAATTACCTAAATGAGGGATGTGTTATTTCTCTGCCTGTAGCTAAAATCTGCACTTGGAAGTATAATAAAACACTGTCTGGATGCTATTTCCAGCATGTTTTCCACCTGATCTTCAGCCCATAGCTGGTCATATATGGAGAAGTTCTGGCTTTTTCTGTTAGGTCATTAACAGATTGGAAAGGGTGAATGAACTTTACCTGATAATTTTGTAACAGTCACTTTCTTATACGGAGCACTGTGTGTGAAATATAGGGCACTGCTTGCTTGTAGGAAAGCGACTTCAGCTGTGGCCAGCCTTCAGAGGTCCTCTCGGTGGCAGGGGCTGCTTTGGGTTAGATCCCGTGGCTTGCTTTGTTCCTCCTCTGACCTGAGCCAACAGCAGATGATGGGAGCCAGGTGTGTACCTTGCTTAAAGGTGAGCTGGGCCATGCTGGCACGACTCGGTTGTACCACACAGAAGCTCTTTAGTGGATGCGCGGACGCGCGTGGGCTCATGCACAGACCAGACCTACGTAAGGGGAATGGT